GCAATTTAGTAAATTACTATCGTTGCACCACTCAGCATTCAGGATTCCTAGTAATTTACTAAATTGCAAGCAATCCAGCAGGAAAAATAGCATTGTCTGCAGCGGGCTTAACTAAACTTGAAATAAAGCCCGCTGCAGACGATGCTATTTTTCCTGCTGGATTGCTTGCGATTTAGTAAATTACTATCGTTGCACCACTCAGCATTCAGGATTCCTAGTAATTTACTAAATTGCAAGCAATCCAGCAGGAAAAATAGCATCGTCTGCAGCGGGCTTTAGTAAACTTTACTGTAATTGGTCTAATTTAAATCTAATCTCAATTCGTAGTCTGATACGGACTTTGCTGTGATTGTTCAAATTTCAATCTAATCTCAATCCGTAGTCTGATACGGACTTTGCTGTGATTGGTCATATTTCAATCTAATCTCAATCCGTAGTCTGATACTTTACTGTGATTGGTCCAACTTCAATCTAATCCCAATCTCAATCCGTATTATCCGATACGGGCCTATGACTTTACGAAATTGCCGCGATGCTAGAGCTACCTGCAGGCTCATCTCTGAACCACACTCGCAATGCAGACGTTCCCTTCTCGTGCGATTTTCGTGGCTGACGACCGTTTGCCACGCTTCCGAATACATAATTGTTTATAGCGATCGAGTTCATTAAATTGAGATTACATTTTTTTTACTCGCAGCGAAATGACTAATGGTAATTTTATACGCAGTTAGGCCAGCAGTTAAATTGTTACGTTGTTGCATTTATATTTCTCGCTGGGTTTCGATAGTTTTCATCTAATGATAAATAGGTTTTCTTGCGGTTGACATGTTGCCAAATAACACGCTAATCAACGGGAATCCTGCGTCTCGCGTTCTTCCCAAACAGACTTGTGTGCCCTTCGCATTATGAGTCAAAGTGTAAAGCGACTCGCTTCCCTCGACCAATGTTGCAAGGTAAAATTAGTCTCCGACTCTACAAAATCTAATAAGAAATGTCTGACTGTCGCGCGATCGTTAATCTATTTTGCTCGTTATTTGCTTTCAAGAGCACGCTTCTGTCAAGAGCCGGTTGCTCATCGATAAACTGTGGAGATCGTTAGAGAGATCGTTCAAAGATGGACCAGATCATTGACATAGATGACGTTGAGACTGGGATGCGCTCTTCCAAGAGTTCGACGATACCCTTCGGCTGCATCAGCTCAAACTCGATATGCTACGTCGCGATCACGATCGCGACTCTGGCCTTCCTCGGCACAATCGTCTTCATCTGCAGGGACTACATCAAGTTGCTCCTTTACTGGATCGAGCATCAGAACGCCTGGATCATCGCCGTCATCTTCATAGGCCTGTTCACGGTGGTGTCGTTCCCGATCGTAATCGGTTATCTGTTCCTCATCGTCGCCAGCGGCTACCTGTTCGGCGTGGTGCGCGGCATGGCGATCGTCATACTCTCCGCCAATCTCGGCATAGCGATCGCCCACGTTACCCTGGGTCTTCTGTCCACCAGGCTGCCCATAGGCGCCCTCCTGCAAAGCGACACGGCGAGAGCGATACTCCGCGTCATATCCGGCCCCCAGGCTTTCAAGATCGTGCTGTTCGCGCGGCTCACTCCGATCCCGTTTGGCCTTCAGAACACTATTTTTGCAGTACGTACCACGGCGCGCTAGCTGTACACATGACATACCACTCCTGCACGCAGCTTGCGACAATGTTGTGTATATTTATACGTGTGTATGATTAGGTCAGTAACATAGGTGGTTTTCATTACCACGTAGCCAGCGCGATAGGTTTGCTGCCCGCCCAATTGGTCAACGTTTACCTAGGCAGCAGTCTGAGATCGATGCAGGACGTGCTGGAGGATAGATCCACAGCGGCTACCGGCTACGTAGTGTTTTGCTTCCAGGTGCGTCGCACGCCTCTTTAAAGCTTTCGCTGAATGTAGCAACGATCCTAGTAATCATTTTTCTCGCTGTTGTAGATATTAGTGGGAGTCTCGCTGATGGTTTATATTGTACAGAAAGCGCGCAAGGAGCTTCAGTTGACGTTATTCGAGGCCGACCTCGCATCCATGACGAATTCCCCTCACTACATTCTCGATGGTCTACCAGACTCCAAAATAATTTTAACCAATCTTATTGCGTAAATCTTCTTCTCTTTTTTTTACTGAGTATTACGAGCATTTTGACAGTTCGCAACTTTGCGAGCAACAGCCGACTTCTTTTGTCCATGCTTATTATATTTATATATTATTTTCTCTGTGTATCTTCCAGAAATGTATTTCACTAAGACTTATCGATGGTGCTTTTGGAAATTTAGGCTTTCGAATACGACGTTATACACGAACCCGTTGTCACAGAGTTAACGTGTATCTAAGTCTTACCAAAGCTAACGTGATTTTAGTACCAAACTAAGCTCATAGAGCATGTGATGCATGCATGTATATTTTGGTAAAGAGAAATGGATAGAACATGGAGATGGCACGGAACTGCAAATCCAATGTATAAAGCTTCCTTGCAATAAGAGCACACTATAATTTATACATTGCTCATGTATATGTATATATATATATTGTATACACATCTAAGATTAATGATAGAGACTGAAACTTTACATTTATACCTTTTGCAACGTTATCGATCAATTATTGGACTCTCAGTTTTTTTTGTAGTCCGAAATCTATTGTTAGTGTGTGCTTGTCCATTGTTTTTCTTGTGCAATATATATATACATATATATTGTACATTATTATATTATGTTGTAAAGAGATTATACACAATTATATCTGTACGATATAATCCTGCAAGGAGAATGCACCCCAGTGATAGGAAGAAAAGAAACAAATGTAATAAATTTATCATTCTTGAACCGAACTTGCGTGTGTAAATAAATTCGAAACTCTTAGCCCTTTTCTCTCTGTACCGTGTACTTTGTAAACATTTATTTATCTGACTAGAACTTTGCATGTATGTATATCGACGTTTCGCACGCGTCCCGAAGCTTGAAGAATTCACGTGTGTCCTCCATAAGCGATACCTGTCCTTCCAGCTTCGAGATGTCCAATATATGTCGTATATAGGTATATTTAGAGGAATGGCGGCGGTCGTCTCGTTTCTTTATGCCTGCGTACATTTTTCTCTACTCTATATGTATATTTTTTTTCTATGTATACTCTCCACTTCATATTTCCCCCCTTTTTTTTTACAATTCCGTTATTTAACTTAGCGTAACTGGAATCACATTATAAAAATCGTCTCGACGTTCTTTACATCGTATAATTGTATGTGTATGTACAAAGATAATGAACGCGACCGAATATTCTTAGCGACTATTTAGTTTTTGCTTTTCTGTTTCACAATATACATATAACTGCATCGTTCTCGCACGCACCTCTCTCCTCGGTAACGTTTTAAGCTCGCGAGAGGTTGATTACGTATGTACAGGATGCATTTCGGCCAACAAACAATGAAGTAAGCGCAACGCATCGATAATTATGATACAGAAGTAGATAACCGTCGTGGATATTTACATGCTGACGAAAACTTAATCTCTGAAATTTACTGTACGGGTATCCTATTGTATCCTACTGTGGATGACCGACTAAGGTGTATCGAGACAAATTTGCATAGTGCATAAGATTGGCTCATAGACACAAAGAACCGAAGCATTTGTGCATATGCTTATGTACGTTTCTACACAGATTTGTCTGGATAGGCCCTTGGAGCTGAAAGCTCCTTTGGGGAAGTCGAAAATGTGAATATAGATTATTAACTCGCGTTGCAATAATACACTTTCAAATTTCATATCATCGTTAGAAGGCATTTCCGGTGAATGAACTTAGATTATAAACAAAAGACGCGGGATACCGAGCTGTTACATCTAAGTTTATTTTACAAGAGAAAATGGATCGACGAACGGGATATTTCATTCAACTCGACTATTCTGAAACATCCCTGTTGCCTTTGATAGTACAGGAAATACGTAAGGAAGCAATTCAGTTGGAAGAGGAACATTATGGCCGTTACAAGATTTCTATAATTAATTATTGATATTGAAAATTAATGAAAATTCTTAATTTAATTATAATTTGATATCATAATTGAATTAAGTACAATCGATCAAATTAATTACAATTTAAGATTGCAATTAATTAATAAAAGAAATTCTATATGTAATTGACCATAATATTTTCTATCTTTCTCTGTTACCGCGTCTGTTGAAGTAAAAAAATTATTCATGTACGTTTAGCGAAGCTGTATCATAATTTCTTGGCTTACACACTTTTCGTAGAAAGTAGTGTATATCACGGTGACATCAAGTTGCATGAAACATCTTGCAAGCGTTAAAACCGTAACGCTTTACTAGGAGCTTTTCTTAATGCTACTATCTAGCCATGTCTTCTTTCCGTTCATTCGATAAATATATTATTTCAGCAAACATAATAACAACAACTTTATGGCCACATTATAAACACATAGCTATAGAATATAGAAGAGATTATATATAAAACCGTTCTAGTTTACTTACGTATCAGCTAACCAGTCCGTTCGAAAGCTATCGATATCACAAAGTTCCGAGGGGATTGATCTCAAATAAGACGCGTAGGTAAGTATAAATGACACGTAGAGTGCTTTGTCTCCAAGAACTGCGTTCAGTTCATTAAAAAAAGAAAAACCAACTCCGGCAATCAAGCGCACAGTAAGAAAAACGAAATAGTTGCGACAGGCAGTTCTGCTAACGTTGAACGAAATACACTGCAACCAATTCCTTTTTCTCCCCCATAATCAGCGCAACGATATCGAAAGTAGAAAAAATAAATCGCACCACTAGCGTGGCGAGGCTCGTCGTAAAGTCTACAAAAAATAAAGATTACTTTGCGAATTGCAACCAAGGCGTTATTGTTGAACGAAAGAAATATATAATTGAAACAGAGAACAACATTCCGTCGTCGAAATCTCACGATCCGCTTGCTGCGTCATTATAACGGTAGAAGATCGATCAGATTCGCCCGCGGCTGCGTCAACGATTCCGGGAAGAATTCCGCGAGTTTGTTGTAGAGTTCAGTTCGCAAGCAATGTACATCGCACGCGTTCACACGCTGCTGCGTCGCCGCACCAGTCGTCAGCTCGTTCAGCATCGTTTTCGAATGGGAGGCGTCTTCCAAGTTACTCTGTTTCCGAAATAGGATCGACGTCAAGAGCTGGAACTGCAAAGAGGACAATTAGCGATTAGCACGTGAAAATTACGATTTGGCGAATGACCGAGTCGCCGCGATGATACATGTAAGAATAAGTGTATGAGAAAATGCATACGCGCGCGGATGTACCTCTTTCGTCTGTTGCGTGTCACTGTGGTCGATAATCTCGGAGATCTTCGTCTGCAGGTATTCAAGGGCCTCTATACTGTTGCTCAGCGCGAGCTCTTTGAATTTGTGTTTCCTAATGATCAGTTTGCATCTTTTTAGAATCTGCTCGCCCGTAGGTCGGCGCAGTTCTAGTTGCCAAAAATCGTCGAGTCTCAAATTCGGGAGGCAAGATCTGCCTGGATTGCCACCAAATAGAAAATGAACCTATCGCGAAACAATCAAATTAATCTATTTACATATCAAATGAAGATTCGTCGCAACCTACCTTTCTGGTGTGATCGTAAACAAGCTGATGCGCAAATCGCGGGCACGGTTCGTAATCTTGCATCTTGCTCCAATATTTTTCCCCGACGTTCTCATTACGATATATACAAGACCATTTGCTGTTCTGGATATTGTACACCCAAAAGGAATTTTGCACGTTGTCGTCCCGCTTATCCTTGTCTTTGCTCAAGCCCTACAAATATTTTATATATATATATATATATATATATAATTAATTATTTACAAATACAATAATTCCTATAATCACGAAAGATTCTTTATTCTTCCAACAAATACAAGTTTCACGTATTAATTACGCTTTAAATTAAGTCGCTATGCGAGACACAAACCGACAGAACGTAAATCTCGCCGAGCTCAGGATCGATGGTAGCTCTCTGCGTGAATCCGGCTGCGGGAACGTGATTGGAATCTTTCGTCGTACCGAACTCGTTGTAGCTTATGTACTCGACGTGCTGCGTATCGACTTCGTAAGTAAAGAAATCGCTCAGATACTCCTTGCCTCTCTGTCCAGCGAATATATACAGTTTTCTGGACCGCTAGAACCAGATGTTTGCTTTGAAAAACATCTCGTCACGCACGTTTGCGGGTTTGATTATCGTTATTTCTCTAGCGTTGAAGGAATCAAGTCGGGGATAAGAAAGAACCAACCGGGTGAAACAGCATGGAATGGCCAGCGCGGGATCTGTAGATCGGCATGTCTCTCGAGCACGGCTTATCGGCGATATCACAGGCGAGTCTGATCCAGGTGCCGGTCGGTACGTGATAAGAATATAGTCCCGAGAAATGTGGCTCCGGCACTAAATGTTCATCGGCGCTGCACGACAATTGAAGTGTCAGAGATGAGGGTATAAAAAGAATTGGAAATCGTACACAAGAGTAACATTATTCAACACAAAATCGCTACTTTCCCCCTCCTCTTGACTCACCTACTCGGATGAATCAGTACTCTTCCGCCAAAAACGTAGATAGTCCGTTTATCCACATCCATGGACATCTGATGGTCGAATACAAGCGGCGGCCCGCCCATCGTCCCTGTGTCCTCCGAGATCTGCGTCCACTTGTTCGACTCGATGTCGTAAACGTAAAAGTCGCTCTTCAAATTGTCGCATGTGCGATACTGCGTGTCTAGATACCTGCCCAAAGTAAAGAGCTGCCGTCTCTGCGGATCCAAGCACATCTTGTGGCACGAACGCGCACTTGGACCCCCCTAGGAATCGCGGATCATGACTGGCGTGACATCAATCAAAGATAAAACGGGTAGGTGGACGTGATCTAACAATTTCTGGACGATACGTTTCTTAATTTAATTTAAGCGTTATTTATCAAAATTGCGACACGAAAGAATCGTCGAAAGACAGTAACTGCAAGATTTACATCACACTTTTTTTAAATCCCTTCATTTTTTGTAATAACTGTATTGTATATGTATATACGTGAAAAATCCGCTTTACTTTAATAAAGAAATTGATTGACGATTCTGTTTTCTCAAAATACCACTCGACACCTTCGACAGAGAAGAAACAATTGCCGAACGCGTTGTTTACCCGCCGTCGGAGCGCGATATGCGTGCAATGTAGCGAAGAGATAAGAAATCAATCGCGTATTATTCTGTCAGACCACGTCGTAGAGTTGAATAAAATTGATAAAGCACTACCGACCACCGCTTCGGTATCCTTGCATATAAGTGTCCACTTGCCGGCCTCTATGTTGTACGACCACAGGTCAGAGAGATCCTGATTACCATCCCATCCGCCGAAGAGATAAAGTACCTCGGCCATGGGATCGAGCACCATCTGATGACCGCCCCGCATCCCAGGTTTAGGCTCGCTGGACGATAACTTTGTCCAAATTGCTCTATAAGTTTGAGCATTGATATAATCGTTTAACAGCCCCACTAAAAAGCGGATTTAACAATGTATAAGCGTCACAGCTTACAACGGACACGAGTCAAATTGACTCTGTCAAGGTGATCGGACTTACTCGTCAGGGCGTTGCTGATAAAACGCTCCGCCTGCAAGTGGTCGCCTTTGGTAACCAAAAGGTCGTACAGCGTCGATAATCGCGGATCCTCCAGCGGGACCCCGGTAACCCTCTGTAGGGTCTCAACGATTTCGGGCTGTTCCATTTGCCGAAAGTGTTTCATGCACAGTCTTATTATCTCCTTCTGCCGATACTGCAATGCAAAGGAAACCCATTAGCTTCACCCCAAAGCGCCCGGCGCCTTACGCTCGATAACGCATTTACCATATTGAACCACTCGAGACAGGGTTTTACGACCTTGGGGTCATTGATACCGGTTAGTTTGATGTGCCATATGGAAAAGTTGAAGCTGGGACCCCACGACTGCAATGGAAGAATCTTTATGTACCTAATAGGAAAGTAATTCCTTTCGTTTCCCAAAACGTGCTTGAGATCGAATGTCTCCGGGATGGAATCGTTTCTCAGTCCACTGGAAAAAAAAAACATTCCGATTAGGTGACACGCGCGAGGCAACAGAGCGGAGAGAGCGACGGCCTGGAGTAATCGTTACCTTTCGAGGAGCTCCATCGTGTTCTCGGGCTCTAATCCACCGTATATCTTGAACTTCTTTATATTACACACGTGGGTTTTCTCATATTTGCCGAAAGTGATGTACTTGACGACGGAGGGGCTTTGCAGCTTCAGGATGAGATACTGAAACGCACGGTCGGGAGGAGGTGAGGTGAGCGACGCGGGGCCCGGGGCGACACGCGAGATACGTACCTGCGGGTGGTTGTCGATGTCGGAGGACCAACGCGAGGACTGATCCGACGGTATGTCGACGATGATGTTTCTGAAAGGCAAAGAAAAGAAACATTCGGCGTGCGTGAGCGGCGGCGAACGAGCCTCGTCGCTCGCGCGAGGGCGACTCCCGGGGAACGGTCTCTCGGTTTTTTAGGTTAGAAAATCGCGGTCGGTCGACGACGGGTCTCCCGACTGTTTCTCGGCGATGCGAACGGACTTACGGACGTCGGGGGCACTCACTCGGGTACGTAACAGGAAGAGTAACTGGAGCACTTGTAAATCCGATACTCCAGCACCTTTTGAAAATCACCACTCTCGCTCGACGCCATGTTACACAAATGACATAACCTTCAACCTTTAGGGAAAGATACCCGCGGGGCGCGCGAGGCGCGCGAGCGAGAGAGGAGTCCAAGTCGAGTCCGAGTAATCGAATCCCGGTTCGATTACTCGACCTCGAGAGTGGAGGCGAAATGACGGCGGCACCGCCGTGATTGGCCGCCGAGCCGCCGTCGTCCCCGTCCGGACTCCGGCCCCGCCGGCGCATTGTGCGCGACCGGGGGAGGAAGTGCCTTATCGCGCGCGTATCTCTGTCTCCTTTGAGTGCCTTTGACGTCAGCTGTCCGCAGATGAATGCGCAGACTGTCCGCACGAGTCTACCGCTGACGTCCGCGGCGTCTCGGTCGTACACGTGCGCAGGTGGTCAATTAACAATGGTCCGGACATGAGAGAGGAGTCCGGGATTTAGACGCTAATTCCGGCTCGGATTCGGCTGCGGGGCGGACACCGGACCGTGCGCTGGACGGCCGTGCCGGGCTCCCTCGCGCAGGTCATGGTACGTAGACGACGCGACGCGAGTATCGCGACACAACGGATCCACAGATCGATATGTGTATTGTTGCTTGCCGAGCAGGAGGTAGGCGAGACAACGGCGTGCGGCAACGAGGACAAGGGGACGATGGACGGCGAGCGGCGGCACTCGCGCGCGGCGCTCTGCGAGAGCGACGAGGTCGAGAACTCGGACGAGAGCAGCGAGAGCAGGCCGTCCGGGGAGAGGTGGGCCCCGGTCGGCGCCAACGATGGCGACAGCGAGTTCGCGGACGAGTACGTCAACGCCAACGTCGACAAGTACGGACGCCGGTCTCCTCTCTTCTCTTCTCTTCTCTTTTCCTCTCCTACGATAACGATACAAAGGCCGTAAAGGTCTCGCGACAACATATGCTTTCACAGTTTCACCCTCGTTATGTGTCGCGATTGCTCCGTGACCATTTCGTCTATTACATCATTGCATCAACATGTGTACGGAGTAAACGTGACTGTCCAAGCTGTATTAAAAAATCGCAATATTATAGAAATCATTCTTGTGTGTCGCTAGCCTCGCCTACGACATGGAGAGGGTCAAGCTGCTGGAGGAGGAACAGGAGATGCTCAACTCGTCTCTGATAGCGTTAACCACCCACTTTGCTCAGGTGAGACGATCGAGGCTGAATGCGTCTTGCAATTGTCGCCCGGTACTTGCGCGCCAGTTAATGGAATCCATGCCGCAGGTCCAGTTTCGTCTCCGGCAAATCGTGGACGCGCCAGCCAGCGAGAAGGAGACGCTGCTCAAAGAGTTGGAGGAATTTGCATTTAGGGGAATACCGGACGTGCCGAATAGCTTACTACTAGAGAGCAGATCCGTCACGCCGCTCTCCCCTATGTCCTGTGATGTAAGCCGCGCTAGAAAGCCAACTTTCCGCAACTTCTTAGCATAAGCCAATTTTCTAGTAGTACCCTCGTTACCTCGTAACGTCCTTGACATTTTTCTTATTGCTTTATCTCGCAGCGCTTTCGTTGCTTTGACGCATTTCCATCATTCGTCTAGTCATTTTTAAGGCGTTTTTACATTTTATTCTTTTTTTATATCCTATTTATTTTGTATATTATACACCTCGTGTTATCCGTTCACATGGGATATAAATTGTATTTATGTCTTCCGCTCTTTTTATACTATCTCTGAATGTGCAATAAAAGTTTTCCACACATTTTTTTCTCTACCATCCACTTTATTTTAATACCTTCGCGCGCGTCCGATTCTTCGCGCCACGCGCGCGCTAAGTCTGGAACGTGTGCTTGTGTCTGTCTGCAATTTTCCAAACTTCTTTCAGCTACGGCACAACGGTGATTATGCGGGGGAAACGTTTTGTTTCGCAGCTATCCCTTTAATTTTCACAATTCGATCATTCGATAGCTCTTTAATCGCGTCGGATGTAACGTAACTGTAGGTGACTGGTGTAATTACTGACGCGGAGGTCGAATCCAAAATGGCATTGCAACGAACGAAACAGAGGGAGTTGATAAGCCAGTTGAAATCTCAGTTGGAGGATCTGGAGAAGTACGCGTACGAGACGGGCGACGCCGATCTGCCGCAGAGCGTTATTCTGGAGAGGCAAAATATCATAATCAGTAAGTGCTAGGAAATCGGTAATAGCTGACAAACGTATTGTAAAGGAACGAGAGGTAACGCCGTCACCGATGTCTGCAGGTCACCTGAAGGAGAAGTTGAACTTCGACGTCGACGATCTGTGCAAATTACCGGCGGACGATCTTAGGTGGCAGGTCGATTACGCCATAAGTCAAGTACGTAAAGCGACCTCGAGATCCACCATTTACAACTGGTCCCAAAACTACTGGATGTCCCTTCGTTGATCTGCAACATATTATTACACTTCAGTTCGATTTTATAATACGTAGACTTTAGTAAGATTCTAATTCGGGAGTCACTTACAGAAATATACCCAAGGAAAAATGAAAAGTCAATATGACGTCAAGTTGATGTCATATTGACCAAAAATATGACGTAAATTTGGTCAATATGACATGAAATTGACGTCAAAGATTGAAAAGGTGATTCTTCCTAGAGAAGAATAGGTTTCAAATTATTAAATAATTTGTAAGAATTTCCGATGCTTTGGGACAATTGATGTAACACGCTGTTTATTACCATTTGAAACAGCCCGTATAAAAGATCCATTATACGACAGATCGTCAGCCCGTTGAAGATGAAGGAGCAACTGGTCTTCCAGCTCAAGACGCAGATCGCCGACCTGGAGCGTTTCATAAACTACCTCCAGGGCGAAGTCAGCACGGAGACTCTGGCATGCACGTGTGCGTGTCCGGTACACGCCAGCGGTTCCGGAGCCTCGTCGGGTTCGTACGGCTCCAAGCGGCGCTTTGACCGTGGAAGACCCATCGAGGAAGAAGCAAGTGCCAGCAATCAAACCAGGACCCTCAACACCGTGCGTAAGGTGGTCGCGCTTTTGCATATGTTCCTGATGTCGCAGATGGGTTGTGGCAGCGAACGGGTGCGACGGAACTTTGGTAGTAACAGCAAGAACCCAGTGCACAATTGGCGCGATCTGCGTACTAGACTCGACATCGCCGTGGAGCATGTCCTGGAGACGATCGCGGAGACGTCGCGTCAACAGCAACAGCAGCAGCGTCATCCCGACGACGAGGAGGACACCGACGATGTCGACGACAACGAGAACGACTACACGTCCGACTCGGACTCGGCGTCGCACGCGAACGCGAAGCTCACGTCCGCCGTGAGGAAGCACCTCGCCACTTCGGTCAGGGATCTCATGCAGCACGGCCTGACCGCGGATGTGCTGCGCTCCGGCTCCAGCGTGGTGCCGTTCGTCGGCTGCTTCCCGCAACGCGATGTCACGTCGGCCAACTTTATGCACGCCTGGGAGTTGATACTGAAATACTACGAGATCAAAAACGGACACCGTTACAATTCCAGTCCCGCGCAGAAACTGTCGCAGAGCTTCAACCTGGACCTCGCGGCCGGAAGACTAGCTTCCTCGAAACAGGTAGTCTATATTTTGCCTACAGGCGAAACACCAGAATATTCAGGAAAGTGTAACCGGCGAGTGGTCGGCGAGAGGAGATGTATACCGAGTAAAAATTCTTGATAGTATAATAAGTTTCCAAATTCACAATCTCCTCGTCTATACAGTTCCCTGGACATTCTGTAAACTAAAATGCTACTGTATCTTTATGTGTTTTAACGTTTCTTCTTGTCTCGTTTGTTTAGAGCTTACTGACAACTATAGGTAATATCATTGCTTCTCACAGTCCGTACAAGCGAAGTTACGACTCACATTTTAAGGCATTCATATGTGCTGCTTTGAAGTGAGTAATAATGCGATTATATCGCAGTCAACCACCAAATTGACTATTTATTATATAGTTGGCTGTTAATTACAAATAACAACTAATTCATTAAATAATCGTCATATTTTTCAGCGCGAATAAGTTAGTGATATGGCTGAAGTTAATCCTGCAATGCCAATATCTTCTAGAAAATTATTACCTCTCGTGGAGCTACGTTGTAAAGACAGGTACGGCACAATTGGAATAATTGATGTCGCAAAGTGAGATTGCATTTTTCATAACGAGACTTTCAGGTTTCCAAGATGCGTTTCACACCTTGGATCGCCTTACCAGTTACAAGTTCGATCTGCCGGTGGACTTGGCCGTGCGACAGTTTCAGAATATAAAGGACGCGTTTTGATTGTACAATTTTGTCATTATCGTTTCGTGCAAATGACAATGTAGGATGTAGAATACATGTATATGTACTCACAGTACTTTCTGTAATGCAAGCCATAATACTGTGAACGATAACGGTACGCGAGTCGAGAGTCACTGGAAATTGAATACTTAATTAGCTCTCTTGGGTTCACAAACGAGCGAGAAGAGATGCGAAACACAATTTAAATGATACACACGCTCGAACGTTGAGTTCTTTCAGAGTTATCATTCATCTTTAATGAAACGGCGTTTTTACTTAACGTAAATTGAATTTTTTCCAACTATCTGAATCATATCTTGCGCACTTTCTTCGTACTTTTAATCCAAGAGAAATATTTGAGCGCTCCGTTTTCAACAACTCATTATATACGTTTAAAATATCGATATCGCAAAAGCATTTCTTTTCTTAGAATCCCTAAGTGTTCACTGTATCAAATGCATATAGAGAGTTGTATTGCAATAACTAATAGGTAATTATTATTTATTTTCTAAGGTATCATCAGTATTTGTATAGATCAGTTGTAAATGTACAAATGTACTTTTGCTTTTGCTTGTTGAACAATAGGTAATACATACATATGTATAGTTTGCAAGTTTTAAAAAGATCCTACTCGAAATCCACGTTGTATCTATCGAGATATTTTTTATCGCGGTGTAGTGTAAACGCAACGCGTTGCCTGACGCGTTGAAGAAGCAAGAACTGAATCGAAGCTAGTCACTTCGAAAAAAAAAAGAGTCGTTCCATATTTTGCACGTGTTTGCGCAAAGTATCACTAATATATCTACGATGCATTTATGAAAGGAGGAGGCGTACCAAAGAGCTGCGTAATATATCATAATATCGCAACTAGAGACTTGCACTGAGCACTGTTTATATCGTAAGGCGTTTTATGTATATGTAAACACGTAAATTAGCGATAAGGGATAATGTAACATGTATATACGAAATGTGCAAACCAAACCTGCTTTTTATAAAAAAAAAGAATTATTTTAGATTAGTTCTAGATAGAAAGATGAATAGAGGAGAGCACATATGGTTGCAGAAAATATACTTATCATGCAAGTAATCACGTACAATGATACCCCTAGCTAATTTCCGTATTCGAATAATTAATATTATATATAGTTCCGTAACTCGCGTTTTAATTTAAATGACAATTCTTTCCTCAAGTCCTGAAGGATGTTCAGATATCTCGTATGCAACATAAGGCACAATAGAGTGGGAAGAGTAGTCTGGATTAATACGAAATTGGTTGTTTATTTCTTGCCAAGGTTGCACACATCGAGATACGAGTTTCATACTTTTCCTCGAGGCGTTCATGGTACAGTTAGACCGATTATTGGATTCAGCGTGACACAGTTAGAGTCTACAACGGAAAGAGCGATCTGAACAGCTGGTATTACAGTAATACAGTAGAAATATAGGTATATAAACGGTATTGTCAGCGATACAGAGACTCGTGGATAGAGACACGTTATCGATTATTTACAAAAATCATTACACCGATTATCTGCTGGAAGAATTCGCACGAGTTACGTTACGTCGTCGGGTTGCCGTCGTATTTATGTTAATCGCCGAACAACGGGGTCGATATCGGCAAAACTATGTACGAACCCAACAGGTATACATGTAGTGGCAGTAATTTCTTTTTGTTGGTCGCGGACGCACATGCGCCTGTTACACCGATAAGATGATTCAGGATTTTCACCAAAAAAGCATGTACATTTTAGAACGTATATCGGATCGACCGAAAGGTGTTTGCTCGTCTTCTTCTTCTCTTGTACAATCGTTACACTAACAAGAGAACGATGAAAACGAAGTCGCTAATCAAGATATTGATTCCTGGAGAGTCGAGAAGACTAAAAAAATTACAGCTTATTGATCGACGCCTGTAAAAAAGAATAAGCCGTAAGCCCAAGACCACCGCGGCCATTGGAATAATTCTGCGTTTCATTGATAAGAAATTGGTACTACGAGAAGTAGCATCTCGCAATCAGCTAGGAATTGAACTTGATCTCTGTTTTATGCACGACCGTGTTACATACAATTCAGAATACTCTTTTTCCTGACACTTTCGATCAAGATTGATTAATTTAGTATCCTTTAGAACGGTAAAATTGCGTTTGAATAGAAATAGTAACGACGAATGATTGAAAAACGTGAAAAGACGAAACGTACGAAATTAGCAAAAATTATTTTTGGGCACAAGAGCCCACCCGATAACCGAAAACGTTAATATACATTTGTTCGGTGTTGTACACTTAGCGGTCATTATTCTTATTAAAGTGCTATTTTTCATTTTTTAATGAAAACCCTGAAGATCTGTGTACGGTACTACTTACACAGAATACAAATATACAAGATAAAAAATGTATGTACGTCGTGTGTGTGTGTGTGTGTGTATGCGTGTGTATATGTGTGTGTGGAAGATATCGTCAATCGAGAGATCTGTCTCCGGAACATCTTGGAGCCTCTTTCGAAGGCAAAAACTAGGTTTGTAACGCGTAGTCGTCTTCAAAGATACGAATCAGAGACGTTCTGGAAACGGACTCGTCAATTTTATCCTCGACGCAACGATACACGTGGTATCGTGAGAAGGGGTCGCGATAGCAGTCTTCATCTCCGATAGGGGTGAGAATATCTTACTTCTAAACTGACAGAAGCGTGCCGTATTTTTTCTCGCTTTCGACAATCAGTTGGAACGAATACGCGCGAAACGGCATGAATATTGTTATTCACTGAAATAAAAGCGACGAGAACGAAAAGTTACTGTTACGTGCAGTCTTGTATATCCTTAAACGCTGGCTAGAAAATACTTAAAAGAAAGGAACATTCATTGTACACGACATTTATAGTGTGAACGATTTTTCGTAGCGTACGCTGCTTAACAATAAATGCTTCCTGGAATGTAATTGCGGCAGTGATGAGGTGGTTATTCAGTCGGTGCGCTTCGCTAAAATTACAGCGGGTCGAACGAAACGGCCAATTATTTTTCTAACAAGGCAGTTAGCAAGTCGAAGATCGCGAGCTACTAAATAAGACACAACTAAACGGACGCGATAAGCCTTTCTGCGGGATACACTCCCGTATGCGCGACGCATTAACGCACGATCCATTTCCTTTGTATCCTCGCATTAAACAATAGCATATTCAAACAAGATTATGCTCGACACAAACGCTGAGTGTAATTTAATGTTATGCAAATTCGCAGTAGGTCCGGCTCGTGTTGGTAGGAGAAAATCGCGACGCGCCTTTGCTCTTTCTAAATTTACAACAAGTCCGTAGTATACATTCATTCAATGATTCGCTTTCGCTTAACATTCCTCATAATTCTTTTCTCGTTAATCTCAGCACATTAAATATAGGTATTACTTATGCTTTTTTCTTTTTTTTGGTACAGCAAACGATCTAACAACCTAATACACGTCTAACAATCAAAGAGCCTCTAAATATAACGTTGCTAAATACGTTTTTATAGCCACACCGCTTTTATACTATTTGTACAGACTCGACAGTGCTTTACTCGCAAATAAGCGTTACTCGAGTTTGGACACGGTAATTAGGACCGCCACGTTTCTGCATTATCTCAAGATTATGGAACAATGTTAAAAACTACCGAAAAAAATCAATTTATAAAGCAAGTCACAATTAATATGACAATCGTGGCGCATAGAAACGTGAGAGATTGCTCTAATTGCTGAAGACCCGGGTTCTTCTTTTTCCTTAATCCGTTGCATTTTCAACTTGTAAAGCCAAAGTACCACGAAGATGCAGGTTCAAATTAAAAAAAACAAAGGAGTGATTTTTATTCAATCACTATCTCTCGGAAGAAAGTGGCAATCCGTCGAGAATATCTTGCCGTAAACGTCAAGTTTAATAAACAAATATATAACGAAATTTAAGATATTCTACCGCCAGCAAATATTAAAATAATTAAGCTGAATAATCCGACACCACTGGCGACAGGAATACTTTCTTTATTAGCACAACGTTTCGGCCATGGGTTTTGGCCCTTATCAAGTGCAATCAAACTAATTCAAACGGCGCATGGCATGTGGTCAAATGCCATCGGGCACCACTATACCAAACAATGAAAAACGCAGGGCCGCAGACTTATGTACTATATGCAAAAAGGCTTATAAAGGAAGAAAAAATAAATAAAATAAATAGATCAAATAAATACGTACATTCAAATTATCAATACGCAGACCTTATGTCGCTCTAGACACGTGTCATCGCTGTAACAGCGCGGAAATGAGACTGAAACTATGTAGGTTCCTGTTGCCAGTGATGTCGGATTACTTACCTTAAATGTAAAACGATTCATAAACGCGCTTAAAGATATGTATTACAAGAGCCTTACAAATTTACACCAATAAAAAACGAGTATAATAAGAATTTCGGAAAAGTGGCGGTCCTAATGGGGATAATCGAAAGCTAATTAAACAGTAAATAAAAAGCGTAAAAATCTCCTCGAGCGGTATTCGGAAGAGATCCGGGAAGGTAAATCGGCAGTATTATATCCTGACAGGGACGTCCATTTCTGAAGAAGAAGAAATAGGGGTAGAAGTTAACGCATATCGTATAATATCGCATCTTCGTTTTTTATACATTGGTCCTTTCCTCACTTCTCGTGACTGATAACTGATTCAATATCAAAGCGGATCCAACTAAAAGAAGGCAGGCATTCCACATCACACTGATATACAATACAAAGTTACTTAGCTGGAATGTAATCTTAGCTAGATGTAATGAAAGAGTAAGCAGTAGAGGTACACACAAAGTGACGTGCTTTACTCTTGATTGCGCAGGGTGAAATTTGTCCGATCCAAAAGAACAAGTATTCTGCATGTAAATACAAGCATGACATACATATAATTTTGTGTGTCGATTTTATGAATCTGTATGTGAAGCGCCTGTGTGCTCGTACAATCGGCGCGATTCCTCGTGAAAAGGGTGAAAAATGTAAAATAAATCTTTCTCATAAAAGACTTCGTTTTCGAGAAAAATATTAAACAAAAACATTCTGCCTCTCACTCTTCTCTCAAATTGTACAAATTTCACGCTGCGCGCCTCTGCGAGGAAGAAAAAGAAATATCGATTATTACCGATTATTATTACGTTCATACGCGAATGCGTAGCGGAACGCTGTCCGACTTGCATTCCGCCTCCAAGTCCTGCTTGATGCTGTCGAGAGTCTGATAGATTGTGCGGAAGGTAGGCCGGTCGGACGGTCGCCTGTTCCAGCAGAGCTTCATCAGTTCGTAGATCGACTGTGGCGTGTTGTCCGGGCAGCGCAGCACGTTGCCCTCTTTGATGTACTTGACCACCTCCTCGTGCGTCATCCCATAGTACGGCTGCAACGCGAAGCTGAAGATCTCCCAGAGACACACGGCGAACGCCCACACGTCCGATTCGACGGTGTACTTGTTGTAGAGTATACTTTCCAACGGCATCCATCTCACAGGGATGGCGTCCTGTTCGTCCCCTGCATTATTAGAAATATCAGTAATATCAAAATTAGATGATTACACACGAGTTCCCGTAAAGAATACAAACAGTAACATGGAAGATATTTACAAATTTTTAGTGTGCAAGAAGCAAAGAGTATACTTGAAAACCTAAAGACAACTGTCGCATAATTTTCAGTAGTTCTCTGCTGCAAGATCTAGAAATAACACTCTAATGAAAATAAGGAGAAAAAGACAACCTTTATAATAATCCTGCAGGTATATCTTCTGCGACAGCCCGAAGTCGGCGATCTTGACGATCATCTGATCATTTATCAGACAGTTGCGCGTTGCTAGATCACGGTGAACAAACTTTCGGTCGGACAGATACACCATGCCGGACGCCACTTGCAGCGCAATGTTGATCAGTTCCATGTGCGAGAGCCGCGAGGGCTCGCCCGCGGTCGGACCGCCGTCGTCCGCGCTGGACACACGCACGACGTAATTGCTGGCCGAGCAAGAGCGCAAGAACTCGTTGAGATCGCCACGACCCATGTACTCGAACAGCAGGCACATCGGCCGTCCCAGCGCGCACACGCCCAGCAGCTTCACGATGTTCGGGTGATCGAACTCAGCGAGCAGGCACGCCTCCCGCTCGAAGTCCCGCAGCAGGTCGTCCGACGCCTCCTCCTTCAGCATCTTCACGGCGACGTTGGTGAACTCCTCGCCCGCGACTAGCCCCGGCGCTTTCGCCTGGAACACGCGGCCGAACGCACCCTGACCCAGATCCCGCATATAGATGATATTGTTCCGCGGGAACTCCAGCTTCTCCAACTTGGGATTCAACTGCGCGCTCGTTTTGTGATACGCCTCGTTGCTCGGTAGCTTATCTAGATCGATGTTTACGTCCTACGAGAGAGAAGAGAAATTGGAACAGCTGTTACAAGATACTTAAAATGTAAATATGAAAGAAGAAAGTCAAGTCGCCTGTTATGAGATAGTAAGTTTTCAACGTCCAAATTCCACCAGAAATCTTTTTTCGCAACGATTACACGATCTAACAATCAATTTTCCACTAAACAGATTTCATTCCAAGGGCAATAAATTCACGGTGGAACCAATAGATGATGCCTAATAATTTAACAGAAACTCTGCTATCTCGTATTAATTATGTTGGAATAATTTTACATCAATTATATAACTTTACATACAAAAAGAATTTAATTATATGCAAATATCAACCAAGGTTGTACCAAAGTTATTCTCAGTAAATTTTTCCTTGATAATTTTCTAAAGATTATCTTTTTACTGTTGTCGACGAATAAACGCACTTGATTATCGGTGGGGTTGTATCCTCGGTGGCGTTTGTGTAGTCTTTGACTCAGTAGGATAGACAACAGCGCACCGGCTACAATTACGAAACCCAATGCTGACAGTATGAGCACCAGGGTGTTATTAAATAGGGCATCCATCATTATATCTTTCGGCTCGATCTCCACTTTAGTTGTAACATTATCTGAACAAAAAAACATGTGACATAAGCGTTTCATTTTTAAATTGTAACGCATCAATGAATATTAACGTAAGAGAAGAGAAATTTTCAATACAATTTTATATACTAAGAATTTTTAGTATGTTTTGATTGTACCCACCACATACAGGAATATCGCAGTGTTGCCAGCGTATCGAAGGATCGGTCGTGAAGCACCACGGCATCGGCTCGTCGCCGCCCGCGTTTCTGCAATAGTTATCACCGCGACGAATCTGCGGGAAGACGTCGGGCGGCTTATCATGATTGTGCGGTATCTGCGCGCTCCACATTTGGCAATCCAGACCGTATTTGGTTTTGTTCATCTTCCCCATGTAGAACCTACCATTGCCTCTGATGCAATCGTCTACAAAAGCCAATCGACGTTGTTCAATCGACGCTCTGCGGTTGAGTAACGTTTTTGGCATTCCGAGGAACGTGGAAACTTACAAGTGATGACCTCCTCGTCCATGTTGGTCAGGTGTACGTGCGAACAAGTGGGTGTCTCCTTGTTCACCTTGGGCAAACTCTCGCATTCCGGTAGCACAAAGTGTCCGCGCGAGCGAATATAAATGTCTCTCTGCTTGTTGTCCTCGATGATTGCCCAGTCGTTGAAGCAGAACTGTTGGCGTACAGCCATGCAGTCCTCGTAGCAGAGAGGCAGGCCCGTCGATTCGTGGCACAGCGGAAACGCATACATGCAGAGCAATTTCTGTGCAAAAGAAAGAGAAAGATGAGAACAAACGTCAGTTTTGCGTGCAATGTGCTCTTTTGCGCTGTGATTGTAAAGCTATCTTAAAGTTGTGTCCAAACTCTCCCAAGATTATTTTAAAAATATTTGAAAGCTTCCTCAGTTATGAGGCAAAGTTTGGAGGCATCGCACCTCTGCAGCTGAGCGACATGGCTCCAGCAGAGTCCCTATCAGCTCCTCCCAGAGATTCGCCGTGATCTTCTCGTTCAGCCATCCTCCAGGGTTGTCATTGGAGTCGTTAAACCACACCTTTCCGATGCCGTTGAGGTACTTTTTGCATATCTTGCCGCTGTACGTGGCGCAGTAGCCCTGCGACTCTGGCTCTAGAAGCAAAACGTAGAAAGAGCTCGTTTCGCAAATACCTACATTTTCACGGCGAATGTACACTAGGAGTCACCGATGCCTCCCCGTATGAATCTAGGCGCATGTAGAACACATAGATTTTCCATGTAAATGCAAAATGTATAAATATATGTTGATATGTGTATAAATTCATGTGAGAAGGCATCAGTGAATCCCAGTGTACATGAAGCAGCGACACAGGTATACGTACTTGCTTGTAGGGGACCGAAGTGCAGGAATAACGCCAGCGAATAAACGACGGCCCAAAACACCATTATTTACAGTCATCTATATATACATACATATATATATACATATATTTATTTATTTATATGTATATGTAGATTTTCTTTATTTCTTTTTCTCTCTCTCTCTCTCTCTCTCTTTCTCCGTGTATATGTGAGTGACGGCGCAAATATACGTCTGCGAAGATCCAGAAGAAGGCTCACATGTTTGACGAGGAAACGGCGTTGACACGGTCGCCTCGGACTTGCTTAGCGGTTAACATCGAGCCATTCTGACCGATCGACGGGGCTCTCGTGTACGACGGCCGTACTCTACGCGCGACGACGTGTTGTACCATTCCATAACGAGCGACGTAAACAATCGCGCACGCAAAGCTCGCCGACCCTTGAATACTGATATCTCGGCGGCGCCGATCAGCGAGTCATGGCGGTAAACAGGGTACACTCGATCCGCTCGGTGAGGTTACGACGGAGCTGCGCTTAGATATACATATGCACACGCCTATATACGCACACACATACGTGGAACACATACGCGTGCGTACGCGTAATCCACGGGAATCAAAGTTATTGAGCGAAAACGAAGGCAACAATTGTTGTCGGTACTGCGTTCCGACTATACAACAGCCACGTATATAATTTTACGTAAATTTCGGCAAATGATTATTAATAATGGTCGCCGGCAACGAATCGACAGAATCGACGATCGAATTTTCGCGCGCGTTTTACAAGGCTCTCACCCCTAGCGGGAAAAATTTCTATAAATAACTATAAAAAATTTACTTGAAATAGAAATGCGCGTAGAGATATAATCCACCCGAATTTTGATAAATGACAACAAATCAACTTATTTCGCACATCACCTCACTCACATACTCGAGCGGAGTGGCCAATATTGATCATTTACCCCGTCGTATCCAGTCTTCTTTCGTTGGGCCAGATTGGACATACCTTTCGTTGCTCCTGGCCATACAGTCTGGTCATTTTGACCAGAAATCAGGAAGAAAGAAAACTCCTTCCATAGTCGGTTTATCACCGACAGATATTTCGTACGGTTCCAACTATATGCGAGCGCCGATCGTATCGAGAAATGCACGACCGGGAGTGAAGTTATTTAAAGAAGAAACGTAATTTGTTAAAATTTAATTTTTAAAACTGATCAAAGCGCAATTTTACTTCCATCTTCAAAAGTACTGACCACCCGCGATACTACGATGATTGGTCAATTCTTATGTGTCTGACGAAATTGACCAATCGCAGTCGATTATTCTTACGACTGCGACTCGCATTGTAGACCACGCATTAAGGCTCGTTCACAGTCCATTCTTATGTATTCGACAATCATCCGAAATATCTCGAAATATTTCGTAGCCGGTAAAATGATCTGTACTTGCGCGAATCCGCGAACGTGTACGCGAATATCCGTGTATGTGACGCGCGTAAACGTGTAGCCCGCGTATACCTCAACAGGGAAATATTTTGAGAATTATGTGACAAAGTCTGGATAAAACTTGGAACGCTGGAATTATGCGCGTACATATGTCGAACAACATATGCAGAAACGGAGAAACTTTCATCAAATTTTCATAAATATTTGCGCACGTATCACACACACACACACGGATACGTCACATACACAGGTACACGTGAACGAAGGTACCTAATAGCG